TAATATGATCCAAGTTAGGTGGTTCAGAATTTGAATGAATAAATGGAGAATTTTTTAAGGTGTTTTAAGAGGATGTTTGAGGAAATGTTCTTTGTGGAATAGATCTGTTCCGAGGCTGAGTTTGTCGATTTTGTGGAGAGCCACTTTTGATGCGAGATGCGTAGAGAACAGTAGGGGCCTGCTCCGGTTCAGCAATGCGGTGTTCTTCCATCTGAAGTAGTGAACAAGTTTGGAGAAAAGACGGCAACGGAGTTTGGAATGAGATTAGATTCACAATGGTCCCGTAATATTTTGGTAGACCGTTGAGGGTTTGGAGGACGAGTTGCTTGTTCGACACGGGGTTGCCGACATCTGCCAAGTTGTCGGCAGTGGTTTTGAGAAGTTGACAATAATCATGGATCGAGAGAGATCCTTTCTTTAGGGACTTGAACTGTTCTTCGAGTTGGATGGCCCGATAGTCTTCATTGTCTGTAAAGAAATAGGCGAGGGCCTTCCACAGATCATGAGCCATTGCGGTTTTGGAGAGAACCATGCTCGAGAGGTCCTCGGTTATGGTGCCATAGATCCAATATTGGAGGAGGTAATCCGCGCGTTGCCACTCATCGACAGAGATGTCGGCGGACTTTTCTTTGCCGAGAAGGAGATCGGTGAGACAGAAGCGGCCTGCGGTGATGGTGAAGAAGTGGCTCCACTTTTGATAATTCGGATTTTTTATATCTAATGTCACAGGAATAAGGGCTTTGATGTTAGATATAGCATGAGAAAGATGAAAAGGGTTGGAAATCATGGGCGGTGTTGGTGTTGGTGTTTCGTTGGTCATGGTGGATGAAGAGAAGAAGAAAGAACGAGAAAGAAGAGAGAAAAAAATTAAAGAATAAGAGAAACGGCGACTTAGGGTTTCTGGCTTGTTTCGTTGGTGTTTCGTTGGTCATTGTTGAATGACCATCTCAACCAAAAGCTTAAGTTTTTAGTGAAATGTATCATTTAATATTAATATCTCAAATACGCCCCCTCAAGTGCTGGTGAATTACATTGAAGCCTTGCACTTGAAATATTTGAAATGGGTGGCTGTGGGATTCGAACTCAGGACCTTTTCGTTTGGTCTGGCTCTGATACCATGATAGAAGGCAACGGGGGGCGGCTCCCCCGGGGCTCCCCCGACCCCGACCCCGACCCCAACCCATTTTTCGTCCAATCGACCAATCTCTTTCTTCTATTTTTTTCCAACACCACTCTCACCATATAATAATAATAATAATAATAATAATAATAATAATAATAATAATAATAATAATAATGATGATGATGATGATGATGATGATGATGATGATGATGATGATATC